GAATAACATGGTCAGTTCATATCCAAAAGTAGAAGATAAATGTAAAAAAAATTAAATATAATAAGATGTTTAATGGGAAGAGACGGGAGCAGACTGGAAGTCACTCAAAACTATATAAACAGGACTCATCAGATCAACACTGGACTATGGAAGCATTGTTTACAATTCAGCGTCAGATACATCTTTAAAAAAATTAAACAATATTCAATATCAGGYATTAAGAATAATTACAGGAGCATTTAAAACAACACCCACAGGAGCAATATTAGTAGAAATGGGAGAATCACCATTAGACATCAGGAGAGAACAGTTAGCGTTAAATTACTGGGTAAATTTAAAAGGGCATGAACAAAAGCATCCAACACAACAAGTTTTACAATTATGCTGGGAAAAGGAAAAAAGAAGAAACTAAAAGTTTTGGTTGGATCATAAATCAGAAAACAACAGAAATACAAATCAACAACATACGTAAATGTTAGTCCAACAATACCACTACCAGTCATACATCCATGGATATTTGCAGAACCATCTGTAGATCTGAAACTATTAGGATAAAAAGGAAAAAACTAGTAATATAAACTCAAATAAAGTCATAGATTAAATTAACCAATACTATGGATATCTTCAAATATATACAGACGCATCAAAAATACAGTAGATCAAGTCGGAGCAGCATTCATAATACCAGAATTCAAAGTAAAAGTAGGGAAAAGGATCAATGATAAATTATCAGTATATACAGGAGAAATGTTAGCAATATTATTAGCTGTTCAATGGATTGAGGATAATATACCACTCAGATCAATAATTTGTTCAGACTCCAGCTCTTCATTAATCAGTATTAAAAATAATAGTTCAGAAAGTAGATCAGACATATTATTTGAAATACAACAAACTCTGTACAGGATTAAAATGATGGGATTAATAGTAACATTCATCTGGATACCAGCACACATTGGAATAAAAGGAAATGAAATGGCAGAYAAAGTAGCTTTTGGATGTGGTGGTTTGTAGTAGGCTACCAAAAATAAAGTAGTTGGTATTGAAATAAAATTCAGTTAAAACAGAAATAAAAAGCATTATAAAGATGAAAATGAGAGAGAAATGGCAAAAACAAGGGGAGGAAGAAAGAAAAGGTCGATGGTTGTATAAAATTCAACAGAAAGTGGGAGAAATGAGGAATGCTGGAGGAAACAGACGGGAGGAAACAGTCATATCAAGACTCAGATTAGGACATACAGGGTTAAATAAATCATTATTTATAATTGGAAAACATAATACTGGAAAATATGATTACTGTGGAGAAGATGAGGATATAGAACATGTTTTAATACGTTGCAAAAAAATACCAAAATGAAAGAAATCAATTGATTAAAAGACTCAATGAAATTTAAACAAGATTCACATCACCACATCAGTAGGTGGTGGTAATGCACCTTAACGTTGTTGTTAAGAAATGTTACGAAGCAATTCAAATTCTGAAACCTTTCAATTGTTAATAAAGTATTTAAGACAGACTCGACCGTATGAAAGAATATAGTTTTTTTTTCGTTTTTTATTTATTTATATTTATTTTTTAATTTATTTATTTTTGAGAGCTGTTCCAGTCCACACTCCACATCAGTAGGTGGCGGTAATGCACCTTAACGTTGTTTGCCAACCGCCAAAAAATAACTAAGAAGAAGAAGAAGAAGAAGAAGAAGAAGAAGAAGAAAGACAGGTTGAACTGTTTATTCCACCTCGATGTGACCACTACAACACCTGTCATTTTAGTGTGGGAGGTTTTATGGCTGAATTGGACCAGCCTGGTGGCCAATCTTCATTAATTGCACATTGCACCAGTAAGAGCAGAGTGTGAAGGTTCAGTCAGCAGGGTAAGATCACAGTTTTGCTCAAAATATTGCAATGCACACAACATTATGGGTGACATACCAGAGTTCAAAAGAGGACAAATTGTTGGTGCACATCTTGCTGACACATCTGTGACCAAGACAGCATGTCTTTGTGACGTATCAAGAGCCACGGTATCCAGGGTAATGTCAACATACCACCAAGAAGGACCAACCACATCCAACAGGATTAACTGTGGACGCAAGAGGAAGCTGTCTGAAAGGGCTTTGTATAGGCTAAAACCAGGTGTTTCAGTTTCATTGTCTAAACCCTGTATATCTCAATAATATTCTACTTGTTTTAGATGTTATTACTCAATTTAGTGTCCTGATAACAGTTTTATCTTTTTCCTTGATTTTTATAAAGCTTTTGACACCGTAGAACATAACTTCATGTTAAGTGATTCTGGTTTGGTAAGTTCTTTTGTAAAGTTATCAAAACTTATACTCCAGAGGTAACAGTTTCAAACTAAACTGGGACTTCACCAATATTTGAATTGTACAGTAGTTTGGCGTCCGCCAGGGTTGTCCAGCCTCCCCTTATTTATTMATCCTGTGTACACAACTTCTATCTTCTCATGTAATGAACAGTCCATTAAAAGGTATTTCTGTTGCAGAAAGAGAAATTACAGTTAGTCAATTGGCAGATCATACCACGTTATTTTTAAGAAATGCCTCTCAAGTTCCCATTGCTATCCAAACAATAGACCTATTCTCTTCTGCCTCTGGACTGGGTTTAAATCAGAACAAGTGGGAGCTATTTCCTATTAAAGAATGCAACAATACTATGATTCATAATGTACCGATCAAAAACCAACTTAATCACTTTGGAACAACCATAATGAAAAATTAGAAAGCTGAATTCTTTGAAAATTTTAACCTTATTATTGAAAAATGTAAGAAAAAAACTGAACCAATGGCTTCAAAGAGATTTATCTGTGAAAGGACGAATAGTTCTAACAAGAAAGATGGTCTGTCTGGTCGCAATTCATCTGTCTGTTGACAAACAAATCAATACTTCTATTGATAAATTAATATTTAATTGTATATGAAAAAACAAAATGCACTATGCAAAAATGTCGCTTCTGGGGGCCTTAATTTACTTGACTTTATTACCATTAATGCAGTTTTACCTTGATCCACTTGTTCTGGCACTGTCACAATACTGCCACCTTCTGGAAGGAAGCAACTCAGTATATCTAAATGAAGATTGACTCTGATTTCTGTTTAAGTTGGTCCAAATGTTTGGAACATTTTAACACAAAGAATTGTTCGTGATCAATTTAGTAATACACTTCAAAGTTTAGTCACTCCACTCCCTCTTTTCTGGTTTCAAAAAGGAGTCTGAACAATGTATTAAAGGCATCTCTGACTCTAAAACTGTAAAAAATATTTGATTTGTGCCCTTAATTAATGTACTGTATTTGTGTGACTATTCCCACATGGCTTTTGTCCATGTGTTCAAATGTATACTGATAACTACTGATGTTACTTTTAATAATAAAAAATAAAATAAAAAGATTTGCAGATACCACCATCTTTTCCTAACATAAAGCATCATGGTGCAGTTTGGGGGCATGTGCTGTTCTGTGTATTACTTGTTTATATGTGTATATTACATCGATCTTGGCTACATGTCAAATTCTCCTACTTCAGATCATTTTAACCACTTAATATATATAGCAATGGATTATCTTAAAACATGAACACAAAGTGAGCGGTTTATTTATTAATAACCTACACAATGCAGAAGGGTACAGATCACAATAACAAATTTACCACCATTAAAACACATACTTTGAATTCTTATTTGATGTGTGGCCAAGAAGGATGTTTTATACTAAGCATTTAATAAATCATCCAGCCCCACTGGTCTGCTATTAAATACTGGGGTTTCCTCTGAGAATAGATTTGATATTGTGAGATTCTATAGTATTTATTATTTTGTATTTAGAGTGAAATTATTGCGCAGCAGCTTACCTGTATTTTTTTTTATCTTCAGATTGCTATTTTCTGGACAAGCTTGTCCTTTTTCTGATTAGAAATTGGTGCTTCACAAACCAAAAGAAACATTTTAAGATGTGCAACAATCTAAAGTTTAAAGTGTCCATTTATTTACTTTTCTTTTCTTTTGGTTGGCTTCAAATAAACCATTGCGCACCGTTTCCGGTAGGCGGCGCTAAACGATATCCGCGAAATAGTCCATTAAATCAGACTATTTAACATGATTTAATCTAAAATATTAAACGTTTGGTTTAAGAAAAATATAAAAATCAGACTTTTTTCACTTTTGGAGACTGAAATGAAGTTTATATTAACTTCAAATTTACTTTGCAGATTTGCTTTTTATACTGTTCATGATTTTTCTGTTAAAGATTTCATTAATAAAAGAAATTAAAATAGATCGGTTTTGTTTAAAAATGTTTAGATAATATTGTTTTGAAAATGAAGGACTACTATAGTTTATTTGAAAATTTATTGCTTCATAGCTTTTAACGGACCAATGTTTTGTTTTGTTCTGACTGTAATGAAGCGGACTTTTATTTTGAAATACCGAGTTGCTGAAACAGGAAATACCACTACCGGTTAGGTAAATTTTACAGGTGTTTTATATATGTATATACAGAAGTTAACGATAACCCCATAGGTATAATAAATGCCTTTTTAAATTATTTCTCTGAAAAATCCCCTGTAAGTATAAGACACAGCGCCCCCTTTATTTCCGGAAATAAGGGTGTCATTTCCGCAAGGGTCTGACTTGAACCGACCCCGCCCCTTTCTGCAGCAGCTGTTCTTGAAAGAAAGTCCGGAAGCGTCTCATAAGTCAGAGAGTATGAAGAACGATAAAGACCCCTTACCTAATGATTCAGGTGATGTCATAGGTACAGAGTCAGTGAAACCACATGAGAGCTCTCAGAGCGCTGCCAGTCCGCCTCCTCAGGACCTCAGAAGCGTTCTGGTCACCAGCGTCTTAAACCTGGAGAAGCTGGACGATGACCTCTACAGGTAACACTTTTTAAGTGTCATTTTATCTAACGAGATGCGAAAACGAGTTCAGATGCAAAGAACCCATTACTGAGAGTTTATTTTAAAGAGCCTATTTTGAGCAAATAGACGTTTTTGTTTTTTGAAAAGGAAATTAGGTAGTTGACACTGGAACCAGAGTTGTAAAGTAACTAAGTACAAATACTTTGTTACTGTACTTAAGTAGAAATTTTGGTTATCTGTACTTTACTTGAGTAATTATTTTTCAGCGTACTTTTTACTTTTACTCATTACATTTTTACACAATTATCTATAATTTCTACTCACTACATTTTTTTTAAAAAGGTAAGAAGTAGAAAGTCGTTACTCCTGTTTTATTCAGAGTTATTACTTAAAAAATACTATCCTGATAAATTGTTTCTCCTGAATAGAGTGAATTTAATTGTGGTTGGATGAGAAGTATAAATATATATCATTCTGACACAGTATTAGCTTGTACACAGCCCATCACAGCTGCACGCTGTTAGAAAAAATATATTTTGGAGAAGTCACCTCCCAATAAATGTCATTTTGGAAAATCTAACTGCTCACTTTTACTCAGTACTTTTAATACTTAAGTAGATTTTGTGTCAGAAATTTACTTTTGATACTTGAGTACAAAAAAATTCAGATACTTTAAGACTTTTACTCATGTAATATATTTAGAGAAGACTAACTTTTACCAAAGTATTTTTATAAGATACTTTTACTCAAGTATCATTTTGAGGTACTTTATACAACACTGACTGGAACAGAATTCTGGAATGGCCAATTAATTTGTCCGCCATCTTGCAAGGAGCTACGTAATGTTGGGTGTCGACAATGAGGTACTGTATATTTATTAGAGAGGCTGGGGCTAAGATATGCTAAGCACAACGCCATCTTGAAACAGTCTACTTAAAGAGATGGGGCTATTCAAATGATGTAAACAATGCTGAGTACTTACCAGATTAACAGGTTTTTCTTTTTAGAGTACATGTACTCTGTAACACATTTACACACAGATAGTTGAAAGAAAAAGTTTATTTTACCATATTATTTTAACTTAAAAAAACGTTATTTTTATTAACAACATTGTCAAAACAAGTAAAAGAAAGTATACTAAAATTACGTTGTCAAAATACAATACAAAACACAAGGCTTAAAGCATCATTTTGAAAACATTGTTTAGAAATACACAATAAACAAAAAATTTAATTAAATTAAAAATAAAATACAAAATTGTGTTCAATAATAAGCCAGTGAGGTGTTCTGTGTCTCCGCCGTGTTCAAGTGAGTTTTGCTGCAGTGTCAGCTGTTCTTTTGGTTTTTCTTAATAAACTTTTATTTTGCACTTTGGATCCTGCCTGCACCTTACATTGACAATCATTTGTAAAATAAATGCAAGTACATAGTTATTCTGTACTTTACTGTATTTTTAGTGTTTTTTTCTGTATTGTTTAATTATTGGCCTTTGAAGAGAATGAGCTTAGTCAGTTTCTGACGAACAGACTCTTTTTTTTCAAGCTCTGGCAGCATGTTTCTGCCTGATGGTGCAGTAACTGTTCTCCAGGAGTTGGATATAGTGGAGTCTACTTTATGTTTTCCGAGGCACAATGGATCAATATGGCTAGAACTTCTGGTACCAATCTGAACAAACTCTCTATGTTGACAATGAAGCCAAACACACTCAAGTACCTGTAAACATAAATCATTATATATCAGTTCAGATTGGGTTTTTTTTATTCACAGTGCACAAAAATAGCAGTGACCTGAAAGCAYGTCTGTAAAATAGTTTCCTCAATTTATTGTTATTTACATTCTGTAGGAATGTGGACATGATCAGTGTGTGGTTAATACTGGAATAATTTTAGATGAATAAAAATATTACTTCATGTGAAAAATAAATAAATTTACTGTTACAGAGCTTTAGTAAGCAATC